CTGTTAACTAACAGCCATGGAGGAGGCCCTGTTAGAAATTGCAACACAAGCAATCACCACGGTCAGTGGAGAGACAGCAGGCCTTTCAGACACACAGTAATGGGTGGGAGGACCTCACAGGGGCCAACGTCAAATTACATTGATCTGTTTACTTTCTGAATGAGGAGCTGAATCCCACTGGTGCTCCCGGAGTGGGGCCCTCAGCTTTGCAGACTGGGCGGCTCTAGTGTTTCAGCCTGCCCAGGGGACAGCAACACTCTCAAGGACCCACTCTTACAGGAGGCTGACCCATCCTCCCTGCTGGCACATTCTCTTGCTTCTCTCTCGTTGAGGCTGAAATAAATCTGGAAGTGTGGGGTGGTTTTATGGGTCAATATCTTTTTACACCTCTGGAGAAAGATATTTAGTTGGGATAGGGTTGGCTGTTGGAGGGGAGCTTAAGACATATACACGTATCTGGACCCATGTATGTGGTGATAGTCATGGGACAGCATTGCTTGTTCCTAAGTACCTGTTAGGACTGTGGCCTATACACAATGCCTTTTCCACAGGTATCTTGCTATGGGCCTTGAGGAGGGCAATTCAGTGTAAGAGTGTGGAAATAATATCATCTCTCCCTGCCCAAATGCATGCACCCTCCATACCGGACAATGTTTACTGGCTTCAAATGGAGAGCAAGTGGCTTGGGATTTTGGGGAAAGGTCTCAGATTGAGGTACACATAATCAGCTCCAACGATCCCCACCCCAAACTAAGACAGAGCCCTTCCAAAACCCTTTCCCCATTCACCTCAGATTACATGTTTCATATTTTGACCCCCACCCCCACCCGACCACCACCACCTCCAGCCTTTCTTTGATGCCAGCAGAGGAATGCGAGTGAGGGGTTGCAATGTAACATTCTCTGGATCCTGCATATGGTAGGGTAGGCCTTGAGAGAACTGGTGGCAGGATCCCACGGTGTTTGTGACGAAGGGCACAAAAAGGCTTTGCAAGGGCAGCGGGCAGGGATGTAAAACACGCATGTCAAACTCTAAGAACTGAAGATAATTTTAGGCTAGTTATTATAATCACTATACCCACCGGGATCATTCTAAGGCATGTGGAATACTGGTCCTTTAAAAACCACGCTAGTGCTGGCCACTGTAGTTTTGGTAGGGCTTGGCTTTCAGCAGATCCCGCACCCCGCTCAGAAAACCTCCACAGCTTCCTGGGCCAGCCAAATCGGATCTGAGGTCCTCAGCCTGGCCACCAAGGCTCTTCCTGGCTTCGTTCCAGGCTAGTTTAAACTTATCTCTCACTCCTACAGACAGTTTACCCTCTGTATAGACAGGATAACTTTATCCATTCTAACACCTAGGCCTTTGTTTCTGAAAACAACAGCAACAACAACTATCTGCAGTCATATAACCCACTGAGCTCTGTCTCTCCCAGGCTTCAGGGACGAACATCTGCTCAGTGGCTTCTGGGAATCAGCTCCGGTGAGTGCAACACTTACCCCCTTGCCCATCGCTCTTTACGGATGCTGAATGTAAAGCACCTGCTGTGTGCGCCGTAGAAACTGCACAGGGACAGGAGTCCAGGACAGCTTCCAGGCATGCCACAGGTGGAGCCTTTTCTCTGGCTCACCCAAGGGCCAAGAGCGGCTTCTTTCCAAAGAGTCACTTTCCACTACACGTTTATTTTATTTTATCATTTTTTTAATCTCTCAGCCCTGAAGTCCACCAACTGAGGCTCCTGGCTCCTGTACATGTCCCCACTCCCAGATCATCTCTCCCCAGTCTCCCCAAATTCTAAGCATCCAGTTCCACTGAAGAACATGGAATGTTCCCAATGCCCACAATACCCTGCCTCGGGGACGCACTGCACTGACGACTCCTTCAGTGCTTCAGATCTCAGACGGCATCTCACTGCAAGGAAGCCCTCCTTGCTCCCAGACACCCACCACCCAGGATTAAGTGTCTCTCCTCTAGGTTCCCATACCACCTGGTCCTTATCCTCATCCCGGCAATTAATACATCTGGCTGATTTACTTACTTGACAGCCCCATCTAGACTCTCAGATGTGGGGCAGAGGCTGAGTCTGGTGCATTCCTGTACCTCCAGCGCCCGGCACAGTGCCTCACATATAGCAGGTAGTCAGTAAATGTATGTTGAATAAATGAGTCGATGAGCAAGGTGTCTAATTCATTGAATTTTTATTTTTCCCTACATTCTGGAGAATTAGGCAAATACAAGCAGAGAGCGGTTGTAATTTTGTGCAACAGACACTGATCGCCTTTTTATCTTTTTATATTTGGAGGGAGGAATGAGTGTACTGGTAGTCTCTCAAACTTCCAAAAAACAGCTTATTCCAGTGCTGTGATAAGTTACAGCCATTAAATGATATAGTATCCTGATTTACTTTATGAAACAGCAAATCCCTCCTGCTAAAACCGAAACAGAGAACAATAAAACATTTGACCAACGTCATTCATAAACCTAGATGTCCAACTTAAATACTCAATCAAGTGTCTATGGAACAAAGGATTTAAAAAAAAAAAAAAAGATGCTTGGGTATGGTTTTTGTTTCAACTTTGATATAATTATATCACCATGTAGTTTTAACCGGTTTATTTCCTGTAAGTTAACTATCATTTTAAAACAAGTTAAGGCAAACAGAACTTTGCAATACGCAAATTGAAGGCTAAATCACTGAGAAACACAAATAGAACTGGAACACAGACACCATGGGCAGCATGTTCTCCCTAACCCCACTCTACCCCTCGACTCTTGAAAAGTCAGGGCCCCAGTGCCCACGGCTGTGGGGACCTTTCGACTACCCACAGCAAAACAAAGTGAAGGCTCAGCTTCAGCCTTCACTACTGGCAGGAGGAGTCCCTGACACTAGCCTGAGACTGCAACCAGCACTGGCACTGTCCCAGGTACTGTCATTGCTCCAGCCATGCCTCTAGCCCTGGCACTGGCACTTGCATTGGTGCTGGTGCTGATGCTTGCTTCAGCCATGGCATAGGCCCTGGAGCTGGAACTGGCACTAACACTGGCACTTGTCACGTCACCAACGGCAGCTGCATCTCGGGCACAGGGTATCGCCTCCTCTTCTCTCAAGGCCTCATTTACTGCCACGGAAAGGAACAGGGGTGGGTGTCATTCACTTTGGCCACAAACTCTGGGACTTCCATCTGTCTTGTTTCCTTTGAGAGCCCCCACAAGAATACCTAGAGCGGGAGACTGCTGTGGGACACCTATTTGTGCACCAGATACTCCTGCTGCACACTAGCTTTGGTGATGAGCTTCATGGACTCCCCAAAGACGAAATGCTTTTTAGGCGAATGTGCCTCCAACACCCTCAACACCTCCCAGACCACCTCCTCGGGGACACAGCCGGCCTGCATGAAGATGGAGTCCAGAGAAATCATCAGGAGCCGGGTCTTTGGTGTGCCCTGGTCGCCTGTCAGGCCCCAAACCAGGGCAGGATCGATTTTTCTGATCAAGACATAGGAGTGTTCTGCTGGATCACGTTCCTTCAGATAGAACCCAAACACTAACTCGGGGAGGTCAGAGGCTTTCTTGAAAATCTCAGGGAGGAAGCTCCTGTACCTTTTGATGACATACTTCAGCATGTCTGCCCTTTTGATCGCCACCGTCTTCCGGTTCTTAACCAGCAGGTACTGCACCAGCTCAGCTACTTTCTAGCTCACAGGGTCCCTGGGCATGCGCATCACGGAGGTTGGGGGCCCGCGGGGTGCTGCGGGGGCGGCGGGGGGCGGCGGGGGGCGGCGGGGGCGAGGGGCAGGGCAGACGGTTGCCTAGGGGTCTCTGGGGTCCACAAAGGAACTTTCAGAAGCACCTGAGCAGGGGCTCCATGCCTCAGAAGAAGTGATCCCAGGGCTCCCGGGAGCACTTGGTGTCCCCGCTGCAGGCGCCCCCGTGGGGGTTTCTTGGGCAAGGAGGAGAGGAGGAGGCCACCGGGCCTCTGAGACCCGCAGGCCCTGGGTGTCACCTCTACCGCGGACGTTCTCACCTGCGGCTTTGGCTGGCCCAGGAAGCAGGAAATCTGGGAAGAGGTGCGCGTCCACGGGCATTCGGCGGCCGGAGCGCTGTGTGCCAGGCCGCGAGGACAGTGACGTCGCCGCGGCTGTTGCGGCGGCTGCTGAGAAGACCCGGAGCCCCAGGGTCTTGAGTCGGAGACCGCCGCCCTCAGACCCGGAGGAGGAAGAAGAGGAGGGGGAGGAGGAGGACGAGGAGGAAGAGGAGGAGGAGGAGGAGGACGAGGAGGAGGACGAGGAGAAGGACGAGGAGAAGGACGAGGAGGACGAGGAGGAAGAAGCGGGAGGGGAGGGGGCTAAGCCTCCTCCGCCCGGGTCTTCCAGGAGCTGTGGGAATGGACGGGCGCCGCCCCGCAGTGCCTCTTCTGGCAGAAAACAGTACCGCAGGCTAGAGCCTGAGGGATGCGGGGGCGCTGCTCCCGGAGGTGTGGCTGCTGCTGTGAGGCTTGAAAGAGACCTCAAGCCTAAAAGCCAGGCCCAGAGTAAGCGCTTAATAACTGTTAACTGCTGTTGTGATGGATCCGATCATTCTGGATTATCTTTGTGTCCCTCCTTCACTCCTGCGGAGAAGACCCCCTAAGAGCGTAGGCATTTCTGTCCAGCGGCTCCTCTGCAGCTTCCTCTTCAGGTCATCTACCTGAAGTTGCTTTGCTCAGTGCCTGGCCTAGAGTAAGCACTTAGTGAGTTTTCCTTTGCGTTCATTTCATTATTATAGTGCACATCGTATCTACACTGCTTGCATCCTGTGTGGCCATCTAGATGTGGAGGAAGGACCCGCGAAACAAGTGAGCTCCATGGAGAACTGAAGATGTGTTTCCTTTTCTCTATAATCAGTGGATGCCCAACATCAGTTCTCTTGTGTATCATTTCTCTCCTATACAGTCTGGAAAGATATTGTTCATTGTATTGTAACTTTCCAAACCACCATTCGCGTAAGGACAACCTCTTTTTACTTCTCTTACTCCCATGTCACTGCACTGTGCCTCATCCTTCCTCTACAGAGCACTCTCTCCCATTTCGCCTCTCGGCTGAGATTCAGGGACATGAAATCGACTCCTGCTTTGAGGCCAGCCCCTAGGAAGCCTGCAAATGAACAGCAAGAAGACTCCTCCACCCTAGCAAGTGCTTTATCTTATTGTATCATGCGATCCAACTTAGCATTCCTTTTTTTCATCCTAACCTTTCTAAACAGTAACCACTGCAACCTCCTCGCACATAACGAAACGACTGACTTTTATACAGCAATTGTTATACTTCCCAATAACATGTACTGAATTTCCATATAATGTCCACGCCTGTACTTCAAATTTCTTCCATTGATCTAAATTCCGTTACTGCTAATTCCGCTATAAAATAGATTTAGAAATTGATTTTGTGCGACTGGAACTAATCCCCCCCGCCCCCCACTATTCTTCTTTTACAAAATCTCTTCAAAATATTTTGGAAAACGTTGTCCTCTGTAAGAACTTCAAAATCAAAGTTTTCAAGTTAAAAAAATAATAATAATTCCCTGGCTTGATTTTTAACTACAGTTTCTTAGTACATGTAGTTTACTGTGAGAATAATTAACATCTCATTAACACGAGAAGATGGAGGCTCCTCAGCCACAAAATACAGCATGTTCTTCATGTTCTTCCATTGACTCTACTTTTTCATCAGAGTACGTCGGTCACCTTTTATATTGCTTTATATAGCTTCTGCATAATTCTTAAGTTTATCCGTGGCAGGCTCTTTAGTTTCATTGCTGCTATGTATTGAATATTTCCCATTATGTCTTCTGATTACTTACTTCTCACTTATAGGAAGCCGATTGGTTTCATATATTTTGGAGCGTACGGCCGTCTTCATATCACCTCTCCTTAACTAGAACGCTTTTTCAGTGGATTCTCACGCATTTTCTAGGTAGGCAATCACACACAGTCTCTGCATATTACAATTACGGTGTTCATTTCCCCTTTTCTTATCACATTGACTAGGACCATGGTACCCTGTTAGCTAACAGCGGTGATGTGAAACTCTTTTGTTGTTGTCGTTCCCGCTTTTAACAGGAAGGACTCTGTTCTTTTGGGGCTAAATATGTTGTTGGTTTTGGATACCGATTGTGCCATTTCTCAACGTATTGTCTGTCAGGTCCAAGTTACTCCTTCTTTGCCCTGCTTTGGCACACTAGAGCTGATCCTTGTGAATCTTTCTCCTATGCCAGCTAACAGAATGTTAGGCTCTGGCCATAGAGAGCACTGGGGGGTGACCCTACAAATCCCAGCAGGAAAATGTGTCCCTCCTCCTAGTAGCAGTCTCCCGTTTGATGATATTCACTGAAGGAGGTCGGAGACCAGTACAGGCAAGCTCCAGCTGCACGTCCAGACCGTGATCTCCCTACTATCAGCTGCCTCTGAGCAGCTCCAGCATTCCCATGCACCGCCACCACCCACTACCTTTCTGAAAATAGGAGCACCTGCATTTGGATAGGTGCGTGACCTGGAATCACGGGCCTGGGACTGGACCTGATATATCAGCCTTGATCTGGACCTGGACAGCATAGAGGAAAACCAAAGGCCTTAACATGATAACGTTTGGTGTGGATGGCTTTATGGGTTTGTTTCACGAGCTTAGGGTCAGCAAATAAAAGGGGGGGTCTGCTCGTGGGGGCAGGTAGCAGCCCTGGCGATGTGTGAGGTCCGCCCTTTGGGATGTAACTTCAGCCATGTATACACACAGATTAGCACAGGGGGGTAGGTAGCCTCAAGCAGTAACCTTGCCTCAGGAGACACAGGGGGCCAAAATTTTAGACCTGGTGGGAATGGGCTTTGTTCTCCTCGGTTGGGTATGAAGACTCTAGTGAAGCTGGTCCTAAAAGTGTGTTTTCTTGCACACAATGAGGAGGATGAGGAAGGAGAGGGTTATAACCCAGGAGTCTAGAAGGTGGTGGTTGTTTGGACTGTGGCCATCCTTTGAGATACTGTGACTGGTTGGGCTGTAGTCGTCATCCAGGATGCAGTGATGGGCTCCCAGGGCCAGTACGACTCTTGAGCCAAATTCAGGACTTGGAGGCACAGGTCAAGGTCAGAAAGCCTATCATCATAACTACACTGAAGGTAGCTCCAGGGAGCACTACCAGTGTAGGACCACATTGTATTTTGTTCATCCAGATGGCTGGTCAGGATACTGTTCATATGCCCAGTCTATGGTTTTGTAGAGGAATAGTTGCACACTACACATCAGGATGACGCTGTGGGTGCAATACTGCCCGGATGGTCTGGCACTGAGTAGGGAAAGCTGTGTTCCAGATCCAAGCCATCAGCCATATCAGGCATAGCCAGGCCCGCGGTAGCCATCTTTCTCTCCTTTCTGCGAGATCTGTGTGGTGGTAGGCATGGGTCCATAAGCCAATACTTTTATTTCCTGTCGGGAAGGGCCTGAAATTAGCTAACCTTTAAATCCATCATAACTGTGGAAAGCCTTAGAAAGGGGTAGTGCCTGCTTTCCAGAAAAACAGAAAAGTCATGTTGGATATTTCACTGATCCATCTGTGTATTTTCCTGCCCTGGGTCCAGGTGTCAACTCTTTGTGGATGGCATTCAGGTCAAGGAAAGGACACGGAAATGGAGTATGGGGGTTGTGCTCAGGAAACGGGAATCAGAGTTGGAAATCCATGGCTTGGAGTCCAAATGTATTCATATATTTGCGGGGATTGACAAATTTCACCCATATGGAAAGTATTACTGGGGTCCATTTGGCTCGCCCAATGATTAACACAATCGTTTTCAGTTTGACCCAGCTTGTTGTC